GGTACGCTCAAGGGGGACGTGTAATTTGGGTTTGATACCATGCAACAACTCCTGGTTTGCACGCTTTTACTTTCCCATTGGATTGCGGATGTGCCATTCACGCTAGATCAAGCCAGATATGTTCCTTCTTGCAGAATTCTACATTGCTCCTTTAGAGAGATTGCTGCCATTATCTATGATGATGCTGTGAGGATATCTAAAGCGATAAATGATCTTTTTCAAGAACTTCACTGTTGTCTCCATGACGCAACTGCTAACGGGCTCTGGCTCTACCCACTTGGTAAACTTATCAACAATGACCAAGAGGTGGGTCTTCTTGCAAGACAATGACTTGAAGGGTCCCACCATATCAAGCCTCTAGATCGCAAAAGGCCAAGTGATTGGAATCATCCAAAGAGCCTGAGCCGACATATGGTCTTGTCTTGCATACCTCTAGCAACCAGCACATGTGCGAAATATCTGCTCTGTGCCAGCGCGGGCACTAAGCCAGAAAAATCCGTGCCTAAAAGCTTTCGCGACCAGTGACCAGGAACTTGCATGGTGACCACAATATCTAGAGTGAATCTCATTGAGGATCTTTCGGCGTTCTTTCGGAGAAACACACCTCTAGCTGTGAAGGAGGAGGTGTTGTCGACGATTACAAAGGTGCGCAGGTGCCTCCTCCACTGCCTCGATGGCCGCTGAAATGGTGGCTCCTTGTCGCCGCGTAGCATCGTCACCACGGAGGAGAGAGCGATGTGGTTGGTAGCGCGACAAGTCGTTTAGTGTTTGCCAAATACGATGAGGCGCCGGCATGGGTCACACGAACCCCAACCTCACGGAGGCCTAGGCTCGTGACTAGTCGCTGACCATCACAGACACGGTCATGCAGGGCCACCACCAGCTTGATGGGGAGCTCGCCAAGATCGGCAAGTGATGAGTGTTATTTTTACACTCCTCTAACCTGAGTTTAAACTGATATATTTCATTAAAACCGAGATAGTCGCTCCGCTATTGCCACCAATGACTAATAAATGCATAGGATTCCAAAAATCTTTCTTTATTTTGTTCCCGCAGGAAATGGAGTATTTATGGACGAAATCAAGCCAATACTTGAAAAGGAGTAAATTGGAGAAACAGAGCAAAAGACGGCGTTCCATGCGACCGCGCTAGCTCGTATGAGCGGTCGCATGACATGGAAACGGAGACTCCTCATCCACTTGAACAAACTTTATAAAGGGGGTCAAGGCCAAAATGGATGACAGACCAAGTCATGGGAAGTGCAGAACAATTAGTCATCATCGTCTTCATTTCCATCAACCCTTGCCGCCGCCATTTCCTTCTCCATAGCCACCACCTTCATCTTCACCATTGTTCTCCTCCATCTAGTCATATTTGTAATCGTCTATCACACACGGCATCCATTGTAAGACATATTATCAATCAATCTACCTTCATAATGTGTTCTTCAATGTGCTCTCCGTGTGATCTGATCTCCATGTGTGGGTTCCTCGATAAGGTATGGGTTGAGGCAAGTGCCTTGCAACCCGAAGTATTTGTTGGAGGATCAATGGAAGGACTTTGAATTAGCATATCGTATGCGTAACATAATTTTTTTCTATAGTTGTTTCTTGTCTCATTTGTGTTCTTCATCCCTACAGGTACCCAAGATCATGGAGAATGAGCCATGAAGAGACAAAGAGCAGGGAGACCGTGAAGTGTTATTCTGAACACTAGTGACAGAAAGGTTTTAATATGGTAACATGGATCATATCCCTGGGGATTCAAAAGGTGTAGTCAATAAACGTCAAATGATTTTGTCTGATTATTGCAATATTAATTATCGAGGGAACCCCGCGTGACGGACAGTGCCTTCGGTTGGCCAACTGACTCTTGATAAAGGATGCGCGCCGGTCAAGACGTAATTTGCACATATCCCCCACTTCAATATGTAGTAAGCACATCTTGATGGGCGACTTCTAGATCGCAAATTAAGATCATATTTGATCCCGTCAGATCTCGTGCCCATGCCTATTTTTATTGCAAGTGTTCTTCGTGTGTCAGTTTGATTTACGATCCGGTCACAAGCTGGAATTAATTATTTAACAAAAGCTTGTTTGAGACCCTAGCTTAAAGGGCACCATCCACCCGTCGCTTCGATAACTCAGGGTCACCTATGAGGAAAAAGGCGAAAATCCTTTTTTCTCCATTTTCGGATCACCAAAGTAATTAGCGAGAAGTGGTCACTCAACGACACCTTCGGTACCGCGATAGGGGCAAGGCCGACAGGGCACCTGATCATGGTCGACATTGGCTAAGTCGGCTCTCCGCACGACACAGGAGGAAGTAGAGGGGCTCCTCTGTGAGTGCTAGGCAGGGATGCTGCGGCAGCACCCTTACGTAGCTGGAAGGACTACTCGGACAACAACAGGACGATGACGAAGGTGTCGCCGGCCAGCTCGGGACGACGTACCAGGTTAGCTAGTTTAATCAATTTTTTTTTACTTGAACGGATGAAATACCGTCCATTTTATGCAAATCATGTCTGAACTTAAGTGAATTTCGTCGTGTTTGATTGAGAATCATCTGGTTTGTTCAAATCCGCTTTGAAATATACGCGGAAAAGGTTGGATGACCAACTTCCACTGTCCCTCTCCATGAGCATGTTCGCAGACAAATAAGTGTCCCGGAGCGTTGAAGATGCCCTAAACAAAATTGCATAGCCGGGTGGAGCGTCCAACATGGCTCCTACTGCCTTTGTGAAACCCAAACCCGTTGTCTCTACCCAAGTATACCCACTTGATACGACAGCCGTAGATCTTCCCTCCGTGGCTCAATCCGCTCCGTCCACTCCCCTGATCCAAACCCTCCGATTCGAACGTTACGCCGGCCCCCTCATATACCCGTTGCCCCCCTACTAGCCGTTGCCCCTTTCCCTTTCTTCCGATCTCCGATCCATCGACCGACCAAATCCCTCTCTCTCTCCCCCAAGCTTCCGGCTCCCCAATCTCTCCCCTTCCCTTCTTGGCGACCCACTCTTTGGCCGTCCCCGTGACCGAAATCCCATGGAGACCGCCGTTCTTGCGCCACAGCAGGTCAACCCGGCTCAAGCGGCGGTGCCGCAGACCAGGAACGCGGCGGCCATGGCCGCCATGCGGAAGCTCGGCGCCACCTCGGCGAGGAGGAAGACGCTCTGCGACATCACCAACCTGAGACGGCCGCTGGAGGCGGCGGCCGATGAGGGGCATCAGGACGGGTCGAGGTGCGCGGACGGCGTGGATGCAGTCGCGCGGTTGGTCAAGGCAAGATTTGTCCGCCGTCTTTCTTTTTTCTTGGTTATTATCAGTATGATGGATCGTGGTCGCTAACGCTGCTTCTTTTTCTCGAATCCCCGTCTCTGTAATTTCAGGAGAACTCGGATCTTGTGAAGCTCCTGGAGGAGAGAGAGTGAGTAATTTGCCTGCATCGATTGTTCTCGTTTGTCTATGATGGATAGGGCTTCTTGATGTGCGAGTGTTCTGGTGTTGACTCTATTTGGTTTGATTTGGTGCGTGCAGCAAGTTCATAGAGCTGAGCGGGGCTGAGCTCCAGAATCTGCGGCTGGCAAACTGGCAGCTTGCGCAGGCTAATTCCCAGATGTTAGCAGTAAGTTATCCCTGCAAGAAACTCCATTATCCCCGTTTTCCAACCGTGGACTTGAACATGTTCATCACGAGGCTAATCTCTGTCTTGAAATGTTTGCTTCGCAGGAGCTAAATCTTGGCAAAAATAGGGTAAGTTGGTGCTTCTTTGGTCAATCTTGACAACATGTGCTCACATTTTATAGAGAAAATTTTGATCATGACATTCTCAGATCTGATCAGCCGATGTTTTTCTTCTTATCTTTCTGAAGCTGAAATCGCTACAACATGAGCTTACCTGCTCCAGAGCTGCCCTCAAAGTAAAATCATCGGAACTTGAGGTATATCATATCATCTGATGCCAAATGTTCATGATGCTTCTGTTCATGTGCCCTGAACCGCGATGCCCCTAATGACAGGAGGCAAAGAAAGCGCTGAAGAGCAGCAGACTCCAGCAACAGAAGAGCGCGAACGAGACGGCACGCCACTTGGCTGCCGACAGAGCTGCAGCAGCTGCACAGCTCAAGGATGGAGACGCGGAGCCCGCTTCGGATGCGTCGCGTGCCGCCAGTGCCAAGAAGTCTACCTGCAACGCCAGCCGGAAGAGGCTGCTGAGATCTCGATGTAACAATGATATCCCTACCAGTATTTGACACATTTGTGGCCATGCTAACTGATTCTGATTGGCATGTTCTTTGCTAGCTCTGGGACCTGCGGTGGCGCCGACGAAGCTGGTGGCGGCGTCCAAGGAGAGGGAGAGCGCACAGAGGCGGTAAGTAACACCCACAAGCTCGTCAAAATCATCAAATGTTCGATCTGGGAGGAAACGCCGTTCAGCCACTGATTCTTGCTGTTTCTGCAGCAAGTCCATGAGAACGCCTCAGCCGAGTGGGCGCAGGGAAGACTTGTTCGAGATAGAGGACGTTCAGCTCACCGCCGGCGGTGGAGATGACAAGAAGGAGACGTCGTGGGAGCTGGATTCATCGGTGCAGTTCCCACGCAGGTCGTCGCTGGGGAGGCCGCTCCGGCGGGCCACAGAGAAGGTCACCTCCTACAAGGAGATGCCTGTCAACATTAAGCTTAGGAGGCCCTAAGCAGTAGCACAAGTTGGTTGCAGTTTTTTGCATCCAGTTAGATTATGTATAATGAGTTAACTTATTCTTTGCTGCCTTCTGCTTCTGCAGATGCGCAGCCAGCGTGTGTTTGGTGTGAAAAATCTGGATTGTAGTGTGAAAGAATGGTGTTGGCAAACCAGATTCACTAATTTGTTCATCACTCTGAACTTCATAATCTGATCATCTAGAACATCACTCTGAACTTCATAACAGTCACCAAAAGTTGCAGGAGAAACGAGTACATATAGAGAGAGCTTGGAAGATTCTCTAACACGAAATCTTTTGCTCATTTGGTGCTTGAAAACGAATTCAAGCCACTCTGAACTTCATAATTGGCAGAAGCGAAATGCTCTTTCACCAGTGCAAGAGCTCTCGCCCTATGAGATATTTCATTCTTTTCTGACTTGGGCATCTCAGCATACCTGTATTACATGCCCACCTGTCAGTACATAATTGCAAGTGATGCGTGAAAGCAATGGAAATCATCATGAAACTCACGTTTGTTCAAATCCATCTGGTTGGAATACAGGGTCCCATCCAAAATCAGCAGGGCCTCTGGCAGGTACAATTTTCCCCTGCACATGGAGAAGGAAATCTCAAACACGCTCGCTTGCATTTTTCTTACTAAAATATGGCGTCAGATCTTACTGTCCTTGCTGAAATAACGCACCAGAACAGATCAAAGTGCTATGATGTGTTTCTTTAACCAAGGTGCACATGAAGAAAGATAATCTAACAAGATAACAACCCCTCAAAAAAAATCTAACAAGATAACAGTGTTTCTCTGTGTTGAATGTAAAAACTACTTTACTCACTTATAAACAAAATACATCAGAAAATACAAGTTCCAAGGCATACAGGTTATAGAGGGATATGGCATACACGTCATACTTCAGATGAAAATTCCAAGAAGTGACATCTTACTGCTGTTTTTCCAACAAATGTGATCGGTTCCTCCTCTGGTCCAAGAGCAAGCGAAAAGATGCACATAGCAAAAGCTGATTTGTCTTCATAAGCTATTAACAAATTGTTCAAACCTATAATTGCAGAAATAGTATGCATGAGTTCACCAAGTCAAACATTAGAAAGAACGAAACAAGAATTGAGTAGCCATATTACCTTCATGCCCAATCTTCTCTAGAAACCATTTTCTGTACATTCATGTGTGCAAACATCCAGATAAGGAACAAAGAGATTTGTTAGACTGGATATCTGAAAGCATTTTCTCAATAAGGTATAGTGGTGAAGGATGTTTATTATCTGTAACTTGGTAATAAGAAAATATGTTATAGTGCCTGGAGAAGAAAAGGACTTACATATAGGGCCCTGCAGCACAAAGAAAATTATATCATATAGAGCACATTGAATTCATTTAGGAAGTGAAAAGAAAGAACAATGCAAATCGGTTACCTGGCAAACCTTTGAGCGCATTGAAACATAGACAGGTGTCCTCGACAAGTACAGGGCCATTTATCTACTCAAAGAGGAATGCAGATTCATTAACAAGAGTTCAAACAACTTAAATAAAAATTCTCTGCATAATTATTCTAGTATTAGAAAAACATAGAGGTACCTGAGATGCAGCCATTCGGGCCTTCTCTTTAGATATGTCCTCTGGCTCACCTTGCAACTCAGGCACTGCGATATTTAACAGAGAATAATACCATCAATAAAAAAAAAACAAGTTCTTCGGTGTTACTTTTTTTATGACTTCTTACTTCTCAAAACTGAAATCACATACTTAGAGGAACTTGCATGATTTCCATCAGAACCATATTTTGAAATTTGATATATCACTATTGCCTATTTAAAATGAGCACGCTTAGTCCATCCCCAGCTGAATTATTATATGTAGGGCATCAGGATCCTAATTCAAGTGTATGGGTCCAGATTCCAATTCCATCAGAGGGTTCGTCACTGCTATGGATCATAATATCTGGATTTTATACCTTAACTAGAATCCCAGAATGCAAATGCGATATCTTCACAATTATTAAAAATCTGGACTTCCTACCTCTCAGCCAGTAATAATACCAGAATACAATAGATAAATAATTACAGGCAATATGAAGACCACATGACAACAGTAACTAATCACATGAATCACAAGTCCACTGGCTATATTTAACTGGGAACTCCTATTGCATTCCCACCTGTTCCCTCCAAACATACCCCTAAACTGTTGCATAATTTTGGCATAGAAAGTCAGTGTGCTATTCCCCTAAACATTATCGATGCACATCGACACCATTTAAAGAAGGAAAAATAAGCGGAACAACAAGGGCACATGTCATCATCTGTCCTAAATTTGGGTTATAAGACACCCAAGATTTTGGGGGTGAATACTCCCACCGTCCCAAAATTCTTGTCTTAGATTAGTCTAGATACGGATGTATCTAATACTAAAACGTGACTTGATACATCCGTATTTAGACAAATCTAAGACAAGAATTTTGGGATGGACGGAGTATTAAACATGGAAAACACATGGTTTTATCATTATCCGTGGAAACGTACGGTTCGATGAAGCTAAAACAGTAGGAGACAGTAACCGAAGCTGTGAAGCAACTATTCCTAATTCACAATTTTCAGCTACAACCAATTCCCCGTTATATGTTTGTTGTGCGCTAACTACAAAGCAAATTTTTATGATCCAGATAACAAAGTCAAATAGGAGTACCTACAGATTGGTGTTATCCTAGGGTTCGGGCACCATAAGAAGCCACGGTTACGCAGCCACGCCACTCCCATCAACCAGCAAGTCCTAGGCATCCTTACTCTAGCACTAAACCTTTCACTGATATGCTGCTACCTTGTACATACATAAATGGAGGAGAGGTAGAGGGGGTGGAAGAAAGAGCAGGAGCCAGCTTCAGCTTACAGTCGAGTTTGAGGGACTGGAAGGGGATGGAGGAGCCGAGAATCGCACGGACTTCCTCCAGCTTCTTGGCGTTGCCCGTCACGAAGGTCACCGCCTTCGGCAGCACTCGCGCCGCCGCCACCGCGCCCGACATGATGCGGTGTTGCGCGGTGCTCTGCTTCCGGCGTGAAACGGGAGAAAGGCTGCGCCCTGCGGATCCGAGGGTCCACGACGACGGCGGCTGTCACTGGTTTTAGGGCCCCGATTAGACTTCTTTTCCCTTTTCTTCGTTTTAGCGGTTTTGCAAGTATAACACTCCTATATACTCCTAGATCCTTGGAGCAACTCCAATGGGATGACCCATTTTGTTCGCCCAACGCGCCGACCCAAATGGACGTGTGTCCGTTTTTCGTCCGCGGTCGATCCATTTCCGACTTAATTTTAAGCCGGATTTGCGTCGGTGCGGACACGAGATGGACACGCGTGCGCGTCTACTCCTTCACCGGGCCCGCCGGTCGATGACAGCCACCATCATTTTCCCCCATTTTTCACATAAACGCTCCCGCCCGCGCGCGCTCCCGCCCCCAACCAGCCATGGAGGACGCCATCGACCTCGACCTCGACGCCACCGCCGGCCTCGCCTCCCTCGCCTCGTCCGGCGTCGTTGCCCCCTCCGGGAAAGGCAAGCCTCGTGCCCCGCGCAAGACCGCTGCCGCGACCAAGCCAAAGAAGGCGTTGACGCCCGAACAGCGGGTAAGGGAGTCGGCCAAGAGGAAGGGCCGGAGGCACGCCGCGGGCGCGAGGGATGAGGCCGCCCCGCAGGCCGCCGCCGTCGCCGCCGCGCAGCTGGAGTTCACCAACCCCCGCGTCGCGGCGGCAAAGAAAGAGGCGCTCTACATGCTAGGACCTAGGGGTAAACCCTAGCCAGCACAGCCTCGTCCAAGCCGCCGTCGCCGCCGCCAGCACCGGCTCGTCGGCATTTCCTCGGATGGTGCTGCCCGACTCAACCCGCACGTCGGCTTGCAACCCGGTCCCCGGATTCCACGTCTACCCGCAGGCCTCCCGCCTCTCCGGGGAGTGCTCACCCGACGTGAGCGTGGTCGCGCCTTCCACGCCCGCGCCCGTGCCCATCGACCTTAACGCCACCTCGGTGGTCGGTGGCTTGTCATCCGGCGGCACGAGGAAATGCGCGCGGCAGACGCCGGCCGGCGGGCTCCCGGACGCTCGTAACCTGTTCGAGGAAATGCCGTCCGCCGTCAACGAGAACTATATGCAAAACCTCATCTTCGAGGATGGTGCGCCGGGCGATAGCTATGATCCCGAGGAGACACAAAGCCAGGACAGCCGTGGGCATTCACGCTGGCCGCTGGCTATGATCCCGATCAGGCGGCCTTCATGCGTGATCAGGTCGGCATCGACCTGGACGGCTTCCCCCTCGACCACGAGTCCCCGGACGACTATGGGCTAGAGGAAGAGGACGAGTGCGACATCAAAGTGGAGCCTTTGTTCGAGGACGAGCTCGCCAACCAAGTCGCCGGTCCTAGCCGAAGCGCAAGAGCAAGCGCACGAAGGCGTACACAGCTGCCGAGGACAAGCTTCTTTACGAGTGTTGGCGAGACATTGGAGAAGACCCAAAGACGGGCGCCGAGCAAAAGCATTCAACCTTTTGGACTCGTGTGCACCAAGAGTTTTCGTGAGCGCAAGAAGTTTTCACCTTACCAATTTGTGAGCACGCGCGGGTGGGTCTTCATTTCCAAGCGGTGGAGGGTGATCCAACAAGAGCGTCAAGGCCCGCCCCGTGAGCGGCATAGGCATGCAAGACATGGTATGATATCGCCCTCTTTTGTGTCATCAAGATCATCCTTTTACGTCTTCATTTGCTATCACTTGCCCATATGCTTGCATGGAAACATTTTGTAGGAATTTCAAGCTTTGGAGGCATTCAAGGTTCAACACAATGGCAAGTGCTTCAACCTCTCCCATTGCTATCGGGTCATCAAGGACAAAGGGAAGTTCAAGGCGCAATATGTCGCACTCAAGGCACGTGGGGGGAAGAAAGCCATGTAGGATGTTGGGGAGGACGAGCCGGCACGGCCGCGGGGGAAGACCAACTCCAAGAAGGAGGACAAGCGAGATGCGGCCACCAACGCCTTGATCGCAAGCGTGGACGACATGATGAATAAGAAGGACTCAAGGGAGGAGGAGCGCCGGCGTTTCAAGGCGGAGCAAATGGATGCTTTCATGGAGATCCAAAGGAGGAGGCTTGATCTTAACGCCGAGAAGCAAGCCAAGTTGTTCGAGCTTGAGGCGGAAAGGCAAACCAAGATGCTAGAGATCGAGGCCGCCAACGCCAAGACCAAGGCGAAAGAAGTGGCTCTTGCGAGCATGATGACCGAGGTGGAGATCATGAAGGTGGATCTCAACACTGTGTCGCCAAGGAAGAGGCCGTGGTTCGAGAAGATGCTGGCCAACATGCTCAAGTTCGACGACGAGTGATCTATGGCGGCGAGGGTCATCTTTTTTGTATGCCAGCAGGTGTGCCGGCATGACCACGGGAGCCGCGATGACGTGGTCAAACTCAAGTCCCACCCTTTTTTATGTGGTGACATGTGTACTGGCCGGTTGGCGAGTGCACCAGCATGAACTTTGATGATATTTTCTAAAGCCGACATTGTATGTCGGCGCTGGCATGGTGCCGGCATGAGACATGGCCACTGGCATGATCGGCCGTAGGCCCTTTTTATTTAAAAGTTGAATGCGGTCATGAAATGGGTCGGCGCGTTGGGCGCACTACCGACCCAAATGCAAAACTGGGCGGACGCCGGACGGGCGGCCGACCCAAACGGACAAGACAAAAAGCGGACGAATGTGTCGTCCGTTTGGGTCGGCCCATTGTAGTTGCTCTTACTATCTTTATTGTTTTCTGAACACACTAGTACAGACGCAAGCGCTTATATACACGCACATACACTCATCCTTATGAACACACACGCACATCCTACCCATATGAGCACCTCCGAAAGACTGAGCCGACACATCATATTGAAATTTACGAAGTCATCATAGGCATCTCGTCATCGACGGGAACGGCTCCTCCCACTGAATGCGCATCACCGAAAATCCTGAAATAAATCCAGGAATAAACGCAAGCATTAGGACTTGAACCCTGATGGGCTGGAATACCACACCCTCTAACCATCGAACCATATGTTGGTTCACACTATCATTATTTTTTTAATATGCACACATGTCATACCATCACAGACCCGTCACAATATGTATGGAAAAAAGTTTTTTATTATTGTTTTATCCCATGCACACATCCTACCTCACCACACATGCCTCCTCATTGAAGTTTCACTCAGCATGCATGGAAAAATCTATTAGTATGCCACTTATATTCAATAATTTTTTCAACTACACAATAATCAAATACAATATATACAATGTATTGTTAGTTTTAGTACATATATTATAAATTCAACTATTCATGTTTCATGCAATCGCTTGATAAACATTGCAATCAATTACGTAGTAACATGTGGGATATTCTTTAGTTTAAGAATTAGGTATGTCTGCTTTCTAGGATGTGTCTAGATATGCTCTAGTTATTGCACATTGAAATAACTCTTTTTTCTAACCAAATGCATCCGATTACATTATTACATGAACTCGCTCGTCAGTAAAGCTTCTACATCAAGGATTATATTATCTGCCATTAACACTTCATACAAAATCATGTAACATCCCATACCTGCTGATACATGAGTTGCTCTATTACCGTTCCTATTTGCAAAGTTGAAACTGAACTGATTGAAGTTTTGGTTCATGAACATTTTTAGTTCCTCTAGTGTCATGCAGACAACTGATTGATCGTGTTCTTTTTGCTCTACACCTTGTTTTAATAACATGGAGCCAGTTTCAAAGTAGATAGCAATGATTTCCAGCTGGGCATCATGAGTAGATGACGATATTTCAACATGAAGTGTGAGCTCTATTTGACACTGGGATCCTCTCCGGATCCAGATGGCAGTCGTGCGACAGGGTGACATCAGGGTATGGGAGAGGCACGCGGTTCTACCAGTGCCACTCCACCTGGTGCATTGGCACGTTGACGCACTGCCTCGGTCGGCGAGCTGGCGCCGGTGGAGGCAGAGGGAGCTCAGGCGGAAAAGGGATGGCGGGGGCATTGCCCTTGGCTTTGCTGCTGCTGGCACCGGAGAAGAGCCCCATCTGGCTTGACTAGGGTGGCTAGGGTTGCGGCAGGGAAGTGAGATGGGGACGGGAGCTTTCTGGAAGCGGAAGAGGACGCCCCTGATACGTCCATTTTGCATCATGCTTTTATATCGATATTTATTGCATTATGGGCTGTTATTACACATTATGTCACAATACTTATGCCTTTTCTCTCTTATTTTACAAGGTTTACGTGAAGAGGGAGAATGCCGGCAGCTGGAATTATGGGCTGGAAAAGGAGCAAATATTAGAGACCTATTCTGCACAACTCCAAAAGTTTTGAAACTCCACAACAGTCAGTTTTGGAATATATTAAAAATATTGGGTGAAGAAAGCACCAAAGGGGCCCACCCACTGTCCATGAGGGTGGAGGGCGCGTCCCCCTGCCTCGTGGGGCACCTAGAAGCCCCTCAATGCCCATCTTCTGGTATAAGGTGTCTTTTGCCCTGGAAAAAAATCAGAAGGAAGCTTTTGGGACGAAGCGCCTCCGTCTCGAGGCGGAACCTTGGCAGAACCAATCTAGGGCACCGGCGGAGCTGTTCTGCCGGGGAAACATCCCTCCGGGAGGGGGAAATCGTCATCATCATCATCACCATCGATCCTCTCATCGGGAGGGGGTCAATCTCCATCAACATCTTCACCAGCATCATCTCCTCTCAAAACCTAGTTCATCTCTTGTATCCAATCTTTGTCTCAAAACCTCAGATTGGTACTTGTGGGTTGCTAGTAGTGTTGATTACTCCTTGTAGTTGATGCTAGTTGGTTTATTCGGTGGAAGAATATATGTTTAGATCCTTTATGCACATTAATACCCCTCTGATTATGAACATGAATATAATTTGTGAGTAGTTACGTTTGTTCCTGAGGACATGGGAGAAGTCTTGTTATAAGTAGTCATGTGAATTTGGTATTCGTTCG